TTGGAGTTAATTTGTTTTTCCATTTCTGGACAAAGGCAATCCTTGCCACCGGAATTATATGTAGTATTAAATACTGAATTTCTTTTTTGTATTTCACAGACATTATTCCTAATAAAAAAAACTTCAGGTTTCCATTTTATTTTAACCCCTGTTATTGCTTCCAGCCAATTTTTGATCCTTTTCCAAAAGGTTTTGTACTGGTTTTCCTTGTATGCAACTGATAGTGTCATTTTTAAGTTTGTTCCCCAAATTTTTTGCCATTTGTCTAATTCAATATTATAGCCAAAGTTCTGCGCCCATTTTATCATTTGAACAAGACTATTTCTATTCCATCTTTCCTCCATGATCTTAAGATGGCATATCTAATATGTCCTTCTCCATAATTTTATTGTATACCACCCAGAGCCTCTCTCTATTGGAGATGGGTGGTTGAAAAATATGAAAAACAAACAAGTAAACAAACAAATAAGTTTATCTTAATGATTTGATCTTTATTTGTGCTTTTAGTTGATCAACTCTATTCTGTTAGTGTAAGGGTTGAGATTGGATAGTTGGATGGATGAGCATTATCACATCTTACCTGAAGTTCATTAGCACGATCTTGTAATGCATTAGGTGAAGCTGGAATTGTACCATCATGAGATAGCTTGGTCTCAATGGTGCTGATGATCCTGTCCATGCTTTCTATCTCAGTTTCCAAGTTTATACTTGCTTTGGCTCTGAGGAGTGGGAGACAATTTCACTCTTAAGACTGTTTTTGTCAGTAGCACAATAAAACAAAAAGTTCTTCCCCTACATCTTTCAACTTGTAATACTTAAATAATTTACAGAAACATTTTGAAGAACACTGTTTCTTTACCGCTAAAGATTCTTGGCCAAAAGATAATATGGAAGTTACTTACTTTTCATCATATAACCTGGATAGTACTTTAACATCATTGTATTTATTCTTGATGTTGTTGAGCATCACAGGAATTTGAGAGGCAGTGGTACCAGCAGGCTTTTTTGAAAGATAGGTCTCACATGCTTTCTGAGTAGCTTCTTTTTCTGTTCCTATAATCTGAATTATCTTATTTGTTCCCTAATAAAAATGAAGATTTAAAAAACAAACAAACAATCAGTTCAATTGAATGGATTGCAATGATTATGTGTATGGCAAGGTGATAGAATTGAGGGGATGATGTGCACCAATCTTGTCTTATCCTATAATATTTATCCTAGATGCCTCCATATTTTGTTTTGTCTGAAACCTGGAACAATAAGTATATTCTGGATTCTGGATGGTAGCTGATCCAAAATAATCCAACAGACCATTCCATAATGCAGTAGTTTATTCTCAAATCAAATGTATTCTCTGTTTTGTGTGTCTCTCTAGAACTGGGTAATTTATGCTGATTTATGTATTTCTTTTATACTTCTTTTGACTTTTCCAATTTAGTGGAATTAGGCTCTTGTTCACATTCAAGACACTTTAAGGCAAATATTTCCTATAAAATAATATTTACAGATTCTGATGAACAGTATAGCTAGTCACGCATTTGATTACAGCATTGAAAAATAGAAAAAGACAAGAAAAGATCCCTTCTACAAAATAGTAGGTGAGTTGATAGAATGTGAATCTAATCTTAATCAAACAACTAAAAATATTGGATTATAAGGCCTCTCTCTGTCCTTTATTACTCAATCATCTCAGTGAGCATTAATTCTTGCTTGTTTTTACACCAGCAGTAAATGCACTCCATTCTTTTTTGACATGTGCGGTATATAAATATTTTAGTTTTGAATAGTATCTAGCCAAATATGAGAGTATGAGCTATATGAGAGTAAGCAGTCAAACTCCTTCAATACTTGCCTCCTGATGTTTGATCCGTTGAGTAACATCTTCTATAGGGTCACTGTGATTTAGCGGAGACCTTGTGCGGTTAAAAATGTCCATCTTAATTTGCCCCAAATCACTATCAATTTTATTCAGTTTATGGAGCAAATGGTCAGCTTCAGAGTCATCCTGAACTGGAGTGAAGTTTCTGGTTGTGGCTAGAATCACAAATAACATTGGCATTCCTATGGCATGGTCCAAATTAAATAAAATGTTCACATTGAACAGAATTTCTCATTCACGTACATATTAATCCATCAGGTTGCCCTCTCCCCTCCTTGGAAGAGCTTTATAGCTCCCACTCCATCTCATCCTGGGCATCCCCCCTTTTTTTTGAACTATTACCATCTGGCAGACGGTACAGGTCAATAAAAAGAAGAACAAATAGGCTGAAAACCAGCTTTTATCCCAGAGCAGTAACTATATTGAATTCTACTGTATAGTGTAATATTGATGGAGTATCAGGGGGTCCAATTCAATTGTATAGAATGTGAAGAATGTGTGTTTTTGTTTTATTTTTATAGTTTTCTTATGTATGATGTACACTGAAGATGGCATTTAATTTTGTTGTATGAGGTGCAATGACAATAAAGTAAACTAAATAACTGCTGTGTCTAAACTCTCTTATGTTCACCTCCAGTTTAAAAAATATTCCTTCCATGAGAGGTCTGAGATTCTGAATTTTGGCTCCAGTAGTGACCTTATAAGAAGCATATCATCACACGGTCTTAAAGTCTTTAGGGCTGAAGGTTGCAGTCACAGGTTGAAGTCTTTGGGGCAACACCCGAGTACTTTAGCATTCTTATTACACAATGATATATTCCTATCAAAAACCAGTTCTGATACTGACCTTGATGGCTGGGTTTCACTGATTCCTTGTTGCTGCTTCTTAGGGTGGTCTGGATGGAAGCTCTCTTCTGTTTTATTGTGTTCAGCTCACCTTCTAGCCTAAGCACAACAAAGGGATCAAGAGTGTACATAGCACAGAGAATTCCTACAGTACTTATGTATAGTAGATACTTGCTAGAAAAACTACACAATCTAATTATAGATTAATTTAGAATTAACTGAATCTATTTTCATCCCATGAATGAAGTATATGAATTAGATCCATAATTGGAAGTACAACATCTGAGCATACTATTTATGACACAGGCTATTTATATGTTGATGAACATTGTAACAAATGCTTTTTTATATATTCTTCCCATACGATTCCAGAAGCATTTATAAACCAACAATATTTTTTCTTACTTTGCCAAATTACACTAGCGCTTATTTTAATGTGAGCATAAAGTGCACAATACTCTTTATCGTGTCCTTGTGACATTACTTTTACTCAGTACAGGTAGTCCTCAACTTGCAACCACATTTGGGATTGGAACCTCCATTGCTAAGCCATGGGGCTTTATGACCTTTGTTGCTGTGGCCATTAAGCAAATCACTGCAGTAAGTAAGAGAATCTGGTTTCCCTTGCTGACTTTGTTTCTTGAAAACCCCTTAGGAAAGTTGTAAACGGCAATCATAGGACCCTAGGATAGTGCAACAGTCATAAATACATGCCAGTTGCCAAGTGCCTGAATTTTGATCATGAAACCCTGAGAATGCTGCAACAGTTGTAAATGCAAGGGTTGATTGTAAATTACTCCCCACCCACCCCTACCAGTGTGTTGCAATAAATCAACCAACCAACCAAGATTCTCAGTTACCCAGGTCACGGTTGTCCCAAAGGTGCTTCTTGGATGAGAAGCGAAATGTCTTCAAATAAAAACCAAAAAGTCCAGTTGCCTCTTGAAAAAAAATACCTTTGGGAGTATATAGTAATCTTGAACAGTCATTAAATGAATGATTATAACTTAAGAACTACCTATATTGTGGTGTTTTTTTTTGCCACCTAGCTGCTTTTATTCCTCAGGGTCTTTTGGGGAGATTATGATTTCCATCTGTTTTTGAGTAAAGTATATCAAATTCCCGATTACAGGGAATATTGCAGGGTTGACTGGTGGGAATGGTTGCAGGTATAGAGGTCAGAGCCTGCCAGATTATCTGCCTTGGTAGCCATACTTTATTGACTATTAATCCTTTGACAGGATGGGAGGAAGCAGAGATTGAGATGCCTCCTCTTCCTTCTGTGTTTGCTAAATTGTGCACTATCAAGATGATTGGACAGATCACCCATCTCATCTTAATCCTTACTACAGTAGTCAGTTTTACAATGCTTAGCTTTATTATCTAGTATTATGATACTATCTTTTTTTTGCCTTCTGACATGCCACCTAACGTTAGACATGAAACGATTAATGGAAAAAGGAATAATTGAAGTGAATTTTCAAAAGGAAATAGTAAAAGCAACCTAGACATTTTATATATATATATATATATACCCTTCACTTTCTTCTCTACCTTTTTTACCATCAGCAACTAATTGCTACTTGAATATTTTTATAGTTGTGTGCTTAGAAAACAGAAGAGAGAAAAATACAGGGTTTTTTTAATTAAAAAAAATATACACATGCAAAATGCCCGAGGTTATATTTCAAGATGCATATTATTACTGAGTTAAACAAAATGCTGTGGTGGGAATATTCCCATCACAGAATATTCACTTCCATCTCCAATTTTTGTTTTTGTTTTAATCCCAATCTTCCATCCTATATCCAAGGTAAAATCCCAAATGAAGATTTAATATCTGCATTCACCAGCAGTGTTTGGTTCTGTTGGATATCTTTTATTTTATTTATTTTTTTAATTAGAGTGAGCAGAAAAAAGATGCAGGAAAGAAGCTTCTTTATATGGCCCATAAAAAGCATTGGAAGATTATCCTGAAAGATGGAATTATAATAATAACAGCAATACTAGCTATATATTTGCAGGAAAAAGAGCAAAGGAGGTTTATACTAACCTATTAACTCTGTCTATGGCCTCTAAGTCTGGAGGCGGAATGGAGAAACAAACAGCAGGTGCTATCTTACTCTCTTCTTTGGCATTCTGCACCTCCCAGTTTTCCTGGTTGTTATTATTCTTCAAAGTATACTTTTCACCTCTTTCAAGCTGGACCTAGAAGAACGAAGGTAGCGGGTGGGGGGAGGATTTTGGTGTGTGATGGATTTCAACTTTTGCAGCAGTACAAATGCAACTTTTTTCAGAGCATTGTTCTCTTGACCACAGGAATGGTGTGTCTGTGTGCGTGTGCTGTTTATGTGTTCTTAGAAGACAAGTATTTTGTGCTTTCATACCTGTTTGCTGTTGTAGAATACTACTGTATAACTGTATTGTTATATTATGAGATATTTCAGGATCTAGAGCAGTGGTCCCGAACCTTTTGGACACAGGGACTGATTCTATGGAGAGAGGTTTTTCGACAGACTGGATGGGGTGTGATTTTGCATGCTGCCTGCATCCTGTGGATTGGTCTTTGCTTGTTTGTGTGGCCCAGTTTCTAGCATGCACCCGTCCACGGACAGCCAGGGCCTAGGGACCCCTGACCTAGAGGAGTCTATCTCAGTGCAAGAAATCAAAGTTCTATGGCAGGGGTGGCAAACTTGGGTCGTCACGGCAGCACCAAGTGATGTATTGTGGCTTTTTCCTCTTTCGCTAAACCAGGTGTGGGTGTGGCCAGCGTGTGACACATCTGGCCTGCGGGCCGCGAGTTTGACAGCCCTGTTCTAAGGTCTTCCAAGTTTCCATGTTCTTCTATATAACAAACCTGAGATTAATTAGCTAATGAGGATTTAAGCGTTTGTTCTACAAAACACACACACACTACAAGAAAATCACAGGGTTGGTTTTGTAACCCATTGGATAACTTTACCAGTGTATGGAAAATATAAAATGAATGACATTACTGTATTAGAGATAAATATTTTGCAGAGGGACAGGTCATTATGCTGTGATTTCACACCATACTGTATCCTTTTTAGAGTACTTCACAACTCCTTCCCCTTCTGTTCTTGAGAAGCACCACCACCGAAGTGACATAATAAGAATTTAAAAACACAGTAAGATACATATTAGCAAAGCAGAATTGCAGATGGAACAATTTCTATCACCCATTATGAAATGCTCCATACCTCACCCAAATCCCAATCACAAATGGCATCTATTATAATTGGTTGGGAACACTGGATTCTTCGCAGTTTCAAAGGACTAATCTCTTTACTCCTTCGTTTTAGTTCTGCTATGGACTTTTCCGCTTGTTTCACAGTCTTCTCATCATTCTAAAAAAGAAAGAAGAGTGGAGAATTAGAGCTGGTATGTATCTGAGAAAAATTATACAGCTAGCCGAGGTGGCGCAGTGGTTAGGGTGCAGTACTGCAGGTCACTTCAGCTGACTGTTATCTGCAGTTCAGCGGTTCTAATCTCACCGGCTCAAGGTTGACTCAGCCTTCCATCCTTCTGAGGTGGGTGAAATAAGGACCCAGACTGTGGGAGCAATATGCTGACTATGTAAACTGCTTAGAGAGGGCTGAAAGCCCTATGAAGCGGTATATAAGTCTAATTGCTATTGCTATTTCTCCAGTAATGGGAAAATACTTTTTAAAAAAAATCAAAAGATGACTGCCACCATGAAAAATCCCTGCTGTGAGGTTTAGCCATGGAAGATAATTCAACAGCCGTAGTTTATATATAGGGTGGGTGGGGGGAAACACTTTTACAGACCATGCCATTTATTCTGCAAGTCTTGAGCAGGAGATTGGACTAGAAGACCCCCAAGATCCCTTCAGCACTTTCAGTTCATGTTCTATGAAGGGCTGACTTAATGGCCAGTGAATACGAGTTTGGTTTGGTGAAACACCAGTTATATTATCTTTGGTATATGTTGAAGCAATAAAAGGACCAATCCTGATGTTGAGAATATGTATGGGTTAATTACTTAAAGCATATTTCCATATTCAAAAGAATGCATGGGAGATACATACTATTCCTATTTCTATCTTATACGTGGTTGTGAAGACACGGAGGGCCTATCATACTTTATGTATAATTTTGTATCACAGTAGAGTGGTTAGCATTGGGCAAACCAGTTCAAGTGAAAGTGCTCTTCCATTCCATTCCATACGAGACTGGACAGTCACTTATCTGAAATGGTATAGGTTCTCCTGCCTGGGCAGGGGGCTGGACTAGAAGACCTCCAATGTCTCTTCCAGCTCTATTTCTATTTCTGTTTCTGTTTCTATTGTTATTTCTATTTCTATTTCTATTATTTCTATTTCTATTCTATTTCAATTGCCTTTTTAGCAGCAATAGCACATTGCTGGCTCATGCTTAACTTATTACTTTGGGTTGCAAATCCAGCTGTAACAACTCAACAGGGTACAGTTTTTCTTGCTGCCACCTTTGGGTCTGTTTTGTTAATAATTCTTGGTCCTGCAGAGTTGCACTTAGCTGAAATTAGATGAAGCCATAAATAATAAACAAGTTTGGTCGCCATAGTAGTTTAGCAAAATCATTATTTATTTTAGGTTATTAAGACGAGAGCTTGATATCTTTCAGTTTTCCCTTGGGTTCTCACCTCCAGATGGCACATTAAGTTAGACACCACTCCCGGATTGTCTTTATTGAACTTGCTGTATTTGTTATTAAGATCATTGTTCAGCTTACTTAAAAAGAGCTTCATATCATCAACATCATCATAGAACTATAAAGAGAGAAGAAAAAATACAGAAAAACAGATTGATCAAGAAATACTTCTTTAGTCATGAAGACTGGTTCATCTTGCAGGGATAGGGACATTTTGTCTCATTATAGCAAACCAATCATCTCCAGGATATCAGATCCCTGCTGAAATTATCTAATTTTACTTACATTGTGTATCTAGATGTCTGATATTTATACCATTAAATCAATCCTAGCAATTCCAAGAATCCATTGTTGCATGTTTGTTATTTTCTATATAAGTTCATTTTGGTTTTAAATGAGTTACACAAACACAAGTCAATTGGAGTTTAGAATTTAAACTGGGATGAATTGAGAAAGAAAAAAGGAAGAGTGAAACATTTTGATTTTTTTTATCGGTACCATTCTTTGGCATGCTCTTCTGGAGAGGTTATCTGGGGCGATTACTTTAGATGACCAGGGGGAAATGATGGAAAGTGTATGGTGACTTCTTCAGCAAACCCTTCACAAAGTTTCCTGCCAGATCTGATGCAAAATGTTGGCATTATACAAAAAGTGGCTTGGAACAGTAGTATCGACTGAGCAAACATCAGCGGCTCTACTAAGTAGCATATTGCAGAGTTCTGTCCCAGGCTTTTCAGTACATTTATAAATGACATAAATAAGTGGTTGGAAAACATGACAATATTTGCAGATGACACAAAGAAGAAATAGCAAATATATTATAGGAAAATATTGATATTTATGAGGATCTTGACAAGCTTGAGTAGTAAGTAGAAAACAGAAAAGGGTGAATTTCAACATGACCTCCTTTTGGGTGGAAACAATAGCATTATATGATGGAGGATACCACATTGGGCAGTAATTGATACAAAAATAATCTGGGTATCTGGGTGGATCACAAGCTGAACATGACTCAGCAGTGTGATTCAGCTGTAAAAAAGAAAATTCAAAATAACGAACACGTCAAGCTCAAGAGAGGTTATAATACTCCTCTCTATTGTATTAGTCAGAGTCAGACCATATATAGAATACTGTGTTCATTTCTGGACACTGGATTTGAGAAAAGATTGACAAATCAAAAAATAAGCTACGTTCTATTTTCTTCTTTTGCATCAAGTCCATTTACCTTTCTATAATTCTCTATGCTCTTTAGATGGTGCTCCTGACAAATACACAAGTTGAGAAAATTTTGCCATTCATTCTTCAGGGCTTCCTGATGGGCCTGCAGTAATAAAAGATAAACAGATAGATGGATAGATAGAACAGACAGACAGATAAATAAATAAGCATAATGCTCACATCTGTTGCTTTTTAATTTAATTTCTTCTCCAAAGACTAACAGCAACAGATTACCATGGCTGATCAAATATAAAATAAATCTATCAAATTTCATCTCAAATTTGGCTATATTGTATAATCTTTATTGTACTTAAATACAATGAAATATCAAGGCAATATTCAAAGTATCTATCTTGGAGCACACTTCATTTTGTTGTCTGCACAGAATATACCCTTGGCAGTGGTGGGTTTCCAATTTTTTTTTACTACCAGTTTCCTTGTGAGCTTGCTTGCTTGCACAACACTTCTGCACATGCGCAGAAGCGCCCAGGCAGGTGGACGGAGCCTCCCAGTGCCTCCAATACCAGTTCACCTGATCCGGGGCGAACTGGGAGCAACCCACCTCTGACTCTTGGGTATCAATATAAACATTTTCTTCTGGATAGACGGTGACATGCATAGAGAATCAGCAAAGCTCTTGGGCCATAAATTGCACAGCAGTCAAAAGTATGGTATTTTCCAAGACTCTGTTTACACAATATACTTTCAAAAATTCTTATGAGATTTCCTGTTTTACTGAGATAGTTAAAATTGCTGTGAAATCTTATTTTCTCAAGCATAGTTTGCCCCTTGAAGCACAGATTGCTTATTTGGAACAATATTCAGTCTAGTGGTTAAGGCACCAGGCTAGAAACAGGAGACTGTGAGTTCTAGTCCTGCTTTAGCCATGAAAGCCAACTAGGTGACCTTGGGACAGTAACCCTCAGACCAACTCACAGGGTTGTTAATGGGGAAGGAAGGTGTGATGAATATGTTTGTTGCCTTGAGTTATTTGTAAAAATTATAAAGGCAGTTCATAAATAAATGAATAAAAATAAAAGTAAGGGGAGCCCATCGTAACAAATCTCAATGCTCACTTGTAATTACAGTGATAAGACTTAATCAATTTTTTTTGCATTTGTTCTCTTCATATTATGGTAAGTTTTGATCAGTTTAATACCAATACTGCACCTATTCTGCTAATTATAGCTTAGTTTTCCAGTAACAGGAAATATTGTGCAAATAATCTATTTGAATCTGAATTTGCATTAATTTGTATACTTGGAACTATGAATACTGTAAAGACAATTATTTTAAAATTATTATTCCTGACTTGTTCAACAGTGTACTGTGTCATTAATAAAGTGTGCCTTTAACCTTATTTCTACATGAGATAGTATGTACTTTCAATTTCATCAGTCGTAGTTGTATTACTTGTAAATCAGACCTACAGTCCACAGGTATTCAGGGAAAATATGTTATATCACATTATCTGATATATAGTGTATACCAATGGCTGCTACAATAAATAGATATTAATGTAAACTAATATAGATTTTAGGCAAATTCATTCATTTATTACAGTGGTGGGATTCAATTTTTTTTTTTTACTAACAGTTCTGTGGGCGTGGCTTAGTGGATGTGGCATAGCTTGGTGGGCATGGCAGGGGAAGGACACTGTAAAATCTCCATTCCCTCCCCATTCCAGGGGAAGGTTACTGCAAAATCCCCATTTCCTTCTGATCAGATGCGACTTGGGAGGCAGAGAAAAGATGGGGCGGGACCAGTCAGAGGTGGTATTTACTGATTCTCTGAACTACTCAAAATTTCTGCTACCAGTTCTCCAGGACTGGTCAGAACCTCCTGAATACCACCTCTGACTGGTCCCGCCCCATCTTTTCTCTGCCTCCCAAGTCGCATCTGATCAGAAGGAAATGGGGATTTTGCAGTAACCTTCCCCTGGAATGGGCAGGGAATGGAGATTTTACAGTATCCTTCCCCTGCCATGCCCACCA